ATTTTTGAATAGTGATATGATGGGAAATGTGTGGTTGAAAAAGAAGAAAAAAGTATTGATGTGATGGAAAATATTATTTTATTGAAAAATGTGTGGTTGAAAATGAGAATTGATTTGAGAATCAGAAACAAACAGGGCCTAAAGTATTTTCATATTTCGTTGATTTAATCATTTATATGTTTTTAATTTTAAATTTTTGAAAGGCGAAATTGACAAGTAAATAACAATATTGTGAGATAGTTATATACAATGAGAAACGAATAACTACAATACAATGGAACATAAGATAAAGGTAAGTAGTACAAACACATTCTATAATCTACTCGTCTTTCCCTTTTGAATTCGAGTTCTGATTTGAACGATGAAGAATTTATGCCGAAAATCCCTTCATGACATTCTCCCCTAGCATCTTTTTTTTGAGTGCAGGAGTTAACTCGCTGAAATTCAAATACGACCTATATCTTTGTAGAATATTGAAACTATTAACCTTCTCTTGATTCAGTGAATATAATTTTGATTTACTTAAGCTTAGCCAAACGTATGCGTGTACATGTAATCACATTTGCCTCTCTTTATTGGTAAGGTTTAAATGCACTGTAGGCCACTCAACTATGAGTGGATGTGCTTTAGGGTTCACTCATCTTCAATTTTGTGCAATTAGATTATCTAACTTCAATTTACTTGTAAACTTGATCTCTCGTCTTCAATCTGGTGCAATCAAGTTACCTAACTTTAATTTGCTGGCACAACTATTTGTTTTGTCCACAACTTTCTGTTTAGCTAACGAAATATATTGACGTATACGTTATTTTTAAAAGAATGTTTTAAGATGGGTGATATGCATTGTTGCACGAAATAGACATATACAATAATCATATGTTAATTTTAATGTCCATGACAGTATATTACATTAATTAAACTGACAATGCACTTCATAGAATGACTAGATTTGCAAAAAAAGTCAAAGTTATATGACTTCTTTACTTCAAACTGAAGACAAGTGACTAAATTTGTAAGCAAATCGAAATCGATGATCTGATTGCACTGATTTAAAACTTAGTGAATCTAGGTGTAACTCCACTAAAAGTTGGATAACCCAAAATAAATTTGATCATATTGGTAATAGTAGCGTATAGAAATTTGTAATTTTGGTGGGTTGGCGTGATTTGGTCAAATGAATAGCGAAAAATAAAGCTTAATGGATTTGACGATCATTATGATGACCCTCTCCACTTAGAGATGTCAATGGGCCGAGCTAATGGATTTGACGATCATTATGATGACCCTCTCCACTTAGAGATGTCAATGGGCCGAGCCGAGCCGAGCCA